ATTTTATTACCGCGGTAGCATACTCGAAAACAAAAATTCTTATAGCGCCGACTGAATGACTTATAACTAGCAAATTCAGTTTTATACAATCTGATATCTATTACCACTCTAAAACGCATTATAATCTCAGTGATTCCGTTTTATATTTCATAACACCCTTTCTGTTGTCATTACCAGAAACACACAGATTTTTGGTGGTGGGGTACCCGCTACGCCACTAACCTATTAATGGGCCATGTTCACATGTGAGATATGCTGTTTTATAAATTATATTGTAATAGTTAGTCGCTATACAAGTTATTCTAAATAGTCAGTTCGTTAAAAAAGCCAAAAGTTTTTAAATTAAGCCCAATTGAAATTTAAAATTTGAAATTATACGTCATCGGGAATAGACCAATCATCTTGTGTCGAAGTTTTTTTTGTTATACAAAACCAAGCCAACGAACAAACCAACACACAGAATGTCGAAGTGAACGCACATCTAAGTGACATTTAAAATTGACACCATCTAACCTTAGTTTTTTGTTTTGGTTTAATTTTATTATTAATATGAATCAGCTGGATTTATAAAAGTTGAATCAAGTGTTTTACCCATTGTAAACGAAAATATGATTACCGAGATGATTACTGCATTTTTTAACAATACTCACTTTACAAAAGTCACAAAGGTAAGACTTTGTTTTAATAGTAGGTAGTTACAGTTTATATGGAGCAAGTAAAACATATTTATCTCAGGTTTTATTTTTAGATCTGCCAAGCAAGAATATGGGGATAATTTCTTTTTCCATAAGAGAGAAGGAGACAAATTACACCTAAACATAAAGTACGGCAAAAACCTTCTGATGTGGTTGCATTGTAAATAACAAAAATGAACTTTTTAGTGCACAATATGCTTAGGATATGCTGCATGTCAAGGTTTGTAATATTTATTATGCTTTTTTGTTTTTATATTACATATAATAAACAGTTTATAAGGCCCTTTATACCTATAAATATTTTTTTTCTAATTTTGACATATAGGCATTTTTTGTAATCGCAGCAAGTGTTAAAATAATCTAGAAACAGATTTTGTTAGTGAACCTAGTAATAATTATGATACCAAAGAATGCTGCAGAGCACCTATGAAATTTTGAGTTAAAAAATATGCCATATTTTTAGGCTATTTTTATACCCTTTTCAAAAATTTTATGCTCCTCGTTTTTTGCAAAACTTAAAATGCTCTATAGCTTCGAACAAAGTCAGCAAAGCACCTCTATTTTATAAAGTTTTTTCTGTAAAAACAGCAACACCATATATTTATGCACTTGAAATATTATATTTTTAAAAATACATGGTGCTTGCTAACCTTCGAAAGAAGCCAGCAGAGCAATTCGGTTTTTTAAAGCTTTTTTCTAAAAACCACACCCCATTTTTAGACTCTTGAAATATTGTAAAACTTTACTAAAAAAAATGCTATTTTTAAATAATACAGGGTGCTTTGTTGGAACAAAGTCAGCAGGACACTTCAGTTTTTTAATTTTTTTTTTTTATATATAAAAACAACTACTTATGACACATGTTTAGGCTGTTTTAAAATCCTAAAAATGTGGTAAGTACATTTGTTTTCAGAAAAAAACTTTGAAGTCAGCAAGGAATTGCGAATTTTTTTTTAAAATGCCAAATTTCGAATATTTTATAATATTGTAGGAGCCAAAAAACGTGGTGTGGTTTAAAAAAAAACTGGGGTGCTCTGCTGGATTAGTTTGAAGCTAACAAAGCATCCCGTAATTTTTTATTTTATAATACTCAATAGCCTAAAATGAGACATAGCTGTTTAAACAAATTGTATTTTTAAAAATAGCAGTTTTTTTCGAAAAGCTCTATAATATTTCAAAAATGTGGTGAGATTGTTTTTTTTTAAGTTTTGAAAATCCGAGGTTCAGAGCTAGTAAAGCTCTGCTCGTCTTGTTACATAAAATAAAGGCATTTTGTAGCCGGTTATATAGTTATTTTGTAACTGCATATCTAACCCTTTTATTTTTTCAGTTGGTTGTAAATATGTGGCTTCATAGAAGAAGTGATGAACTATTTGTAACATCTATTCAGTGTTATTGGAAAGGCTCTAATTTATCAAAATGCGTAAATATTGATGTACACTTGGCTAGATTGTTAAAGAAACCTCTTCATCCACTACAGGAAAATAAATCAGTACTTTTATAATCTTAGGATTTGTATATATATTTTTTATTTGTAAATAAATTGTTTTTACTTCATTTTTCTCATTTTTTATTAAAATATTAATAAATAAAATTTTCACAGATTTTTATATTTTTGTTTGTAAACAATAATTGAAGAGTTTTTATTAAAAATCACCAATGTTAATAATAATAATAATAATTTAAGTCAATATTATTCTTTCTCCTTTTTTAAAGCTACTATCATCAAAGGTATTACTTGCTTGACCTATGATCAATTTTTAAATTTTGTGATATATTTGGTTCAACAGAAAAAAAATTATAACCCTTTGACATTGGTTGTTTTTACTTAGATTTTCATAAAAAATAAACGGAACTGCAAACATGTTTTACTATCGTAATAACGAATAGCAACATTAAATTTTTTTTTTACATTTATCACTGTTGTCATTTTTATAAAGGATTGATAAGAAGGCACACTTTCTGGTTTTTTGAAAAAGGTAGCAAGAATTGTGATATTTTTAAATTTATCACCAGTGATACCACATGTAGTTACCCGATTTATTGGAATATATAGACTTTGCTACCACATTCAACTGAACTTGGTTGTTTTTAATATTTATCACTGTGACATAAGCGTTTTTGTCAAAATGTTTCATTTTAAACTGCTGTAAATAGGTGCCTTTGTTTTGGTAGTTTTAGTCCCAAAAAAATTTATGCATATACAAGTACTCATTCCTCTTTGATTTGTTCGAAAAGTTAAAATTTTATAAAAAATTACATTGGCTGTTTAAAAACTCATTATAATCCCTGAAATGTGATAATTAGGTAAATTAAATTAAAAAAACAAACAAACAAAATTTATTAAATTAATATTTACTCTTACAAAATAGGTTCTTGTAAGTTAACAAACAATTATGCAGATATTACTAAGTAAATGTACTTGCTTAAAATTCACACACAAATGTGGTTTTAACTTGTTAAATTAACTAACCCTTCTTATAACTCTTTCCACATGTATTCTTAGAGATGCTATTCATTTACTTAATTGTACATCTTCTGGAGAACTTTTTTCATTCTGTGATACACTAGGTGTGGCTTTACTAAAGTGCATCCCATGTTTTCAAGTAGCTAAATATTCTGAAACCCATATCTGCCATTATATGGGATCCAGGAACCAGTTTGTTTAAATACCCACATTTTTCTATTATTTCTTTATCACTAGTTCTTCCACAAAATGATGAATAAATTCGGTATCTTCAAAACTTTCAGGAGATTCTGCATTTTCTTCCAGAAGGGTTTTTAGGTTATACACCTAGTAGCCTCATTTTCAATTTCCTGAAGGGGACAATTAGCAGAAATTGCTGCTATTCTACATCTTGATAATCCGGTGTATTTTTATTAAAAAGTTTACGAGAAACATCGCTAGTAGAAGGTTGATTTTCTTCTTTCCAAATTTCTAGGAACACTAATAAATATTTTTGAAGATGAATGTGAATCATTATCACATTCTGGAACAAAACACTTTTTCGTAGTCATAATATTTATTTATAAAAAGTACAAAATAAACACTCAAATTCCAAATAAATTATTGATGGAGACACTATGACAGATGACATACAGTGCTGCCGTTTTGCCATTTTCTGAATTATTAAGTGACTTTTAAAACAATAAAACTTTAAATATAGTAAAAGTTTAAACAGAAACAATACTTTCAAAAAACATTTGATATTATATATTTAAAAGATATTTGTTTAACGATGTTTTAGAAGTCTAAAAGTAAGAAGGAGTACACAAACGAACGTACATCACTTCTCGTAAACCTTCTAGCCGGCAACGTTGTGCGCTAGCTCCTATTGGTCTATTCCCGGTGACGTCATTAATTTTAAAAAAATTCATAACTCCGGCAAATGAATAGATAAAAAAAAAATAAAAAAAATGTAGTTTTATTTTTAACTCTACTATTCATAAAAAAAATTTCAAAATTTTTGAACATGCCCCATTGTTGGCGACAATCAGCGTTGCCAGGTCTAGTGAAATTTCACCAGATCTGGTGATTTTGGAACCTTTTTGGTGATTGGTGAAAAACTACGCGATCTAAACTACTTAAAAATATAATAATTTATTCGAAATATGGATTAACCAATCGATTAAAAAAATAACTTTTCGATTGAAGGTATCGGCAACAATGCTCGCGCTTGCTGTTCGCAATCGTCGGAGAATTCTGTAATTCCCCGTCTGGGCCAACTCTGTAATTCCCCGTCTCGAGTAATCTGAGTTGTTATTTGCATTTTGCTTTGTGTTAGTTCATTCGTTGCAAATCTCGTAATTCGGAAATTATTTGCTGTTTAAATTTTCTGGGGCTGACTCCTGAGTTTTCCATACTGTTATTATTATAGTCGGGCGCATTTATACTTTTTAGGTAAGTTCAAATAATTTAATTAATTAGCAAATTAGGAAAGATGTTTTCACTTTAATACGAGTGCATTAAACAATTATTTTTTGAAAATATATTCTCGAATGCATTTTAACTTGAAAAAAAAAACACGAGTGCACGCAGCACTAGTGCTAAATTAAAACTTGTCATTTTATTGTTTATATCTTCATTTTGACAGATAAATGAAATTATCGGTGTTAAATTAATTTAAATTAAACAAAAATTCACTTACTTAGAGTTGGTACGTACCTTATCTAGTTATTAGATTACTGAGTAAATGTTGATTATTTCAGATAGCCGGTGTTAGAGTGCTAGCAACATTATGGATTCAAGTGATGACAATAGCGATGGTCCCTCTACTTCAACGATGAAAATTCGAAAAAAGTCATATGCTCATAAATATAAGGCAGAATGGGAATAGATTCCAGAATTTTAATCATGGATTCGACCTAGCAATCAAGGGATTACTTATTTTAAATGTTTGGCATGTGGAAAAGACTATACATTGGAGGTATGGCGGCGTAAAAATCCTGAATGCTGTAAAACAGCAGAAGGCTGTAAAAGAAATGAAATTTTTTAAACAGCAAAGTTCAACCGAAAAAACTGTAAAATTGGCAGAAATGAGATTAGCTTCTTTCATTGTTGAGCACAATATTGCTATAACTGCAGTAGATCATTTGGTATCTGTGATCAAAAATTTAAATCTAGACGAAAATTCTGTAAAAAAGATATCCTGTAATAGGACCAAGTGCACTGCATTAATAAATAATGCAATAGGTCAAACCAGTTTTAAAATATTGGTAGATTTATTAAAAAATAATAAATTTTCATTATTAGTAGATGAATCTACCGATCATGTTGCAATTAAAAATTTAGCTATCGTAGTACGTCTTAATATTAATTTTAATATTACTGATAATTTTTTAGCGCTTTTGTCAGTAAGTGATGCATCTGCAGCAAATTTATATAATGTCATTACAGAATTTCTCTCTTCACACAATATTAATTTTAAAAATAATTTAATTGGTTTTGCTGCAGATGGAGCCAATACTATGATGAATTTGCATCATTCATTAAAAACTATGTTAATGAATGATGTGCCCCATTTATTTGTATTAAAATGCATATGCCACTCATTGGCATTGTGTGCTTCTTACGCTTGTTCGAAATTGCCTGACGAGGCCGAAAAATTAGTTCGTGATATATTTACTTATATGCAGTACAGTTTTAAGAGATTTACTGAATTTAAAGAATTTCAAGTTTTTTGCAACTTAAAGCCACACAAATTACTGCATCCTTCTCAGACGCGCTGGTTGTCCCTTAGCGCGGTAATTGTTAGAACTTTAGAACAATATGACGCATTAAAATTATATTTCCAAGGACAACATTTCGATAATGTGCAAGCATCGTCAGCAATTTTTAACAGCTTAAGTAATCCAGTAATGAAAGTTTATTTGGAGTTTTTGGAATATGTGTTTGTAGCGCCTTGGAAGCACTACATACTAACTCCAACTCATAATATATTGATACATGTCACACACATGCCACACATATCAATATTACCTTTTAAGGCAGCTAAGTGGCAGGATTTAAGTGCACCCTATCTATCTACTTGACGACCTCGGTTGCCAAGTATTAATATTTATTAAAAAAGAAAAATGTCAATTATATAATTTTCTGTCATGACGGAATTATCTTTTTATTATATTAATACATACCCTTTCACAACCGCTATATTATTTATAACATGGGATCCACAAAGTTAAAAGATCCCATAGTGTTACCAATCTTTAATGACTTAAATTTGGAATTTCAATCTGAATCTCCAAAAATTCATATTTTGTATGAGCGCATGGCTACAGCTTATAAAACACTATTACAATGTTATTTAAAAAAGGACTATGTAAATAATACAGATGTTTCAGCAATCCAGTATCGAAACTCATAGCATTATAAAGCTTTAGAAAATATTTATTGTGGTCCAAAAGTAGCGATTGCCTTTGAAAATAACGTCCTCAATAAAGAGAAGAAACAAAATGTATTACTAAAATGCTTAGATTTTTATGTTGAGGGTTCTCACCAGATTTACAAACGGTTTCCCTTCAACACTCCAGAAATAAAAGCGTTAAAATATTTACCGTTTTTGTCTCCAAAAAATATTAAATCCATAAATTCAATTGGCCCCGTTGCATCTTATTTCCCACATTTAGGTATGGATTTAAATACCTAAAGCCTTGGTTTCTTTGAACACTTCGTCGCGGTGAGCGGACAGTCCGTCAACCGTCGCGTTTTGACGATTTTATCCAACCAGAGTATTTAAATGGGAATGGTTTTCTTGAATCCGCTTAGTTGAACAGGACGGCGTCATGCCGCTGATTTGTCGCGAAGAGTCGGTTGATATCTGTTGAGTTTAATATCAGCGGAATCGTCGTTGTGTGCGGAGACTATATTGTTATTAATTTTAAAACAATGAGTGACAAATTCACATACAGATGACATCATGACTTTATTTTTAGGTTTCTTGGAAATTATGTCCTTTAATAAAACTCAACACGAATTCAAAAAGATCTGTAGAAAGTCTAAAATACTCCCTAAATTTGATTTCATTTCCAAAAAGCCTCCACTGCACAGTGATATTAAAGGCACCTTCCGTATCGCGACACAAAAACAACTCATTCACTGGCTTATTGGAAACTTTGACGGTTGCAATTACCAGTTCCTCTTGTTCTTCCTCTTCCAACAATAATAACAACGCAAACAATTTATTTGCAACCATTTTAGTGCCTTTCGTTTACATTCATAATACAGACATAGAGAAAGTATAATTTTCTATATTTTTTAACAAACCACCTCGGGCGAAAATTGCTGTCCTCAGCGGTCGACGGACTGTCCGCTCACCGCGACGGAGTGTTCAAAGAAACCAAGGCTTTAGACAGAAAGTGGAGAATGTTGCAAAATAGCAACATTGATACAAACTTGGACTGCATTAAGTTTTGGAAGCAAAATTGCGAATTAACAAAATTTGTTAGTAGTCTTTTAGTTTTACCACACAGTAGTGCATGCGTGGAGCGTATATTTAGTACGATCAACTTAAATAAAACAAAAACTAGAAATAAACTCTCGTCTGTCACTTTATCTGGAATATTGCATTCAAAAAGGCAAATAAATCAAAATAATCAACATTGCTTTGATTACAATATTCCAGATAAGGTTTTGGATAAACAATAATAAAAAAAAATGGATGAATATATCCGTGATGTTGATTATTCTCCAATATCTACAGTTGAATTTTCACATTCAGAGGATTATAATAGGTACTGGTCAACTAGGGAACATAAGAACTATTTTAAATTTTACCATCAAAATATACGCAGTTTAAGAAAAAATTTTGACGAATTAAAAGTATTTCTTAATCAACTAATTTATGAGTATGATTGCATTATACTAACAGAGGCATTTAAAATTTCAGATATTAATTTATTTCATCTAGAAAATTATGATATGATGTACAATGATGGTGTATTAAATAGAAACGATGGTGTGGTAGTTTACATAAGAAAACATATCAAATTCTCATATCAAACAGAACTTATCGGATATTGCAAAGCACTTGAATTACAACTGGAGATAAAAAATAAAGAGAAATATATAGTTACTGCACTTTATAGATCACCCTCCGCTGACGAATCAACATTTATTAATGCCATCCAAGATTACCTCGAACAAACAAAATCCATGAACGCTAATGATAAACACATTATAATAGGTGATATAAATTTAAATATTTTACAAGAAAATGAAATCACATCCTCCTATATGGACGTCCTAAGTGAACATAATTTTATTTCAATGATAAATAGGCCAACAAGGGTACAAGGTAATTCTAAAACATGTGTTGACCACATATTTCTAAAAACAAATAAAAATAACATTCCAGAAGAATGCATTTCTATTATTGTTGATAATTTTATTACTGATCATAAAGCAACTATTTTATGTATACCTAATATAATGAACTCCCAATCTCAACCTAATTCTAAAAAATATATTGTATACATAGATTATACTAGATTAAAAAATGATCTAGAAAAATATAATTGGAATGAATTTTATAACAGTAACGATCCAATTACTTTAACAAAAATTTTTTTAGACATATTGAACTTTTTCATAGAAAAACACAAAAATACAAAATTAATTAAGCATAGCAATATTAAACGTAAGGGTTGGATCACGAACGGCTTAGTAAATTCTATAAATGAAAAAAATAAATTGTATAAAGAATATCAAACAGACCCAACAAATGATTTAAAAAAAATAGATTCCTTAATTTTAAACGGAAATTAGAAAAACTAATTAAAGCAACAAAATATAGGTACTATGGAAAGCTTATTGATAATAACAAAAATTCGTCAAAAAATCTGTGGAAAATTATAAAAAATAATTCATTTACCAACGATCAAAATAAAATAAATGAAATTATAAATTCTAATAATGAATTGACCACAAATGATAAAGAAATTGCAGATGAATTTAATAATTTTTTTATTAATGTTGGTGAGAAATACGCTAATGAAATCGAGCCGCCCTCTAATGTACCTGAGTTTTCTAAAATATGCCGAAGATCATTTTTCCTAGCACCTGTGACAGAACCTGAAATTATGGAATTAAAAAAAGTCTAAAAAGGCTGCAGGGGTGGATGGTATAAAATCTGAAATCCTAAAAAATATTGCACCAGTTATTGCTTCGCCTCTAGTTCATTTAATTAATTCAATTTTTACAACTTCTTGTATCCCTCAAGAGTTTAAAACTGCAGTAGTAACACCAATTTATAAAAAAGGAGCAAAAATAAATGTTTCTAATTACCGACCAATATCAGTTATAACATGTCTAGCTAAAGTTTTTGAAAAATCCCTTAAAAGTCGCATTACTAAATTTCTTACAAATAATAAAATAATAAGCAACAAATAGTTTGGATTTCAAGAAGGGATCTCGACAACAGGTGCTATTTCGGAATTGTTACAGGAAGTTACGAACTCCTTAGAAATTAGCAAACCTACATTGTGCGTGTTTCTGGATCTGGCTAAGGCCTTCGATACAGTTTCTCATGCGCAATTGCTGGAGGCACTGGATGATATAGGAATTCGAGGCGAACCAAACAAACTTTTTGCAAATTATTTATTAAATAGAACTCAAACGGTAAAAATTAACAACACTTTAAGTGAAAGAAAATGTATTAAATTTGGTGTACCTCAAGGTACTGTGTTAGGTCCTATCCTCTTTATTATTTATCTCAACAGTATTTTTACTTATTCAAGTGCAGGTAAATTGATAAGCTTTGCAGATGATACAGCGATTGTTTACTCCGATAATAGCTGGACAGATCTAAAAAATAAAACAGAAATTGATTTAAAAAATATATTCGATCTATTTAGTCATAAATTACTCACCGTCAACTTCGAAAAAACTTACTTTGTGCCATTTTCTAACAATATTAGTACATTACCTGATTATGATTTATTAACAGTAGAGAGGTCAAATTCTAAAGTAGGCATTACTGCTAAAAATAATGTAAAGTACCTTGGACTACATATAGATTGCCACCTTAGATTTCATAATCATATTGAAAATGTAGTTAAAGTCCTGAGGACATTATTTTACAAATTTAGGTATTTTAAAAATATTGTAGATCCTTGTCATCTGAAAACTATTTATTTTGCTCTGATCGAATCAAGGTTAAGATATTCGATTATTAATTGGGGCGGAGCTGCCTTTTGTTACATAAAAAAGATAGATGTACTACAAAAACGGTTTCTAAAAATAATTTTTAAAAAGAAATGTTAGCATCCGAACACATTCACACCAAATGAGTAAAGTATTTAATAGTCTCCCCGAATCATATAAAATGTACCTTCTCAATATAAACTCATTAGAATTC